AGTCTGAGGTACAGAAAACCTTGCCAAACTTTCGAAATTATTTTTTTTTCACAGAATTATGTATGGTATTGAACAAAACTAGCTCTAAAAGTTTAGAAAAAGTAGACAAAACTCATTGATGTACATAAAATCTGTGTTGATGCGGTTGTTGTTAGCCAGTGCTGCATCTCTAGTAATTGTTTTCAATGAAATTGTTGGTTCTGATTAGTCTTGAATTTTCAGGTATGTAGGTAACTTTTCAGAGCTGGACACGATTTTTCAAGTAGGAGTTTTTGTCTGGCAGTTGACAGTACAACCTGATACTATTGACATATAAAGTGGTATATAGCGAAATCATCACTGTAGAAACCACCAGAGTTATAATCAGTAGAATTGCCTTCAGCTTATTAAACAACTTCATTAGCAATCAGAATGGAGAACGATAAACAATAAAAAAGTTATCAATTATTGTTCCTTCCTATTTGATGGATGACATTCTTTCTTGGAGGAAGTTATAGCTCATCTAATTAGTCAAATCCACAAAATTATTACTCATGAATGCATAGGCGGCAAGCGCGTTACTTGTTATTGAGCTTTATTGCTTTAATTTGTTTGTTACCTCGTCACTCTCATATTTTTAAATTTTACTGCTCAATTGAATAATGACCCTTCACATACGATTCTTGCCCTACCATACTTTTGATATTATTTAGGAATGACGGAAATAACCAATCAACGTAATAACCAGGTTAGTGCTCCCAATGATTTAAATTTTAATATTTTTTCAATATCCCCTCATTTTAGTAATTCGTTTCAAGTCAATAAGTACTTTATTTTGCTCTTAAAACCTGATCATCCCATATCAATGAGATGATTTATTTAAAAAATTTCACAAAGGTTGCAATACCAATCATGAAAAGGTGCAATTATATAACTCTGATATGGCACAATGAAGATTCACTTGTCTGATGAAAATGCAGAGGCAATTCGCCAACGTGAAACATAAGGTCAAACACATGCGCAGAAAAGAATGTGGAACTGTTCAAGATTCTGAAGAAAGATTGAATGTTTTCTTCGCCTTCTAACTTTTACGTGTTTATTTACAGTTCTCTTCAGCAATGTCCTTCAGATATATGTGTATAGGGCTCAACTCTAAACGATAACAACTGTAGTTTAAACTTCTACATCCTTACCACAGAAGGGGCACCAAAACAAGAAAGTTCTCCCAATTATTGGTCCAGATGGAACTTTTTGGACACACAAAATCAATCACCGAATCCTAGATCACTGAAAACTTGCATATTGTTCAACTCAAAAAAATCATTTGGCAAAACTGCAAAACTGAAACCAGAACTATAGAGAAAAGAAATGATATCGTTCTTCCAATCGTAATCGAATTCTTTGAGTCATACAATGTAACCCTTATATTTAACGTAAGTCATTTTTCCTAGAGAAAAACACAACCTGAAAAATATCAATATCGTTCGTAGCGAAGCTGTCGCATCGCTACGAACGATAATACTCAGAAGTCGAAACTTGTGCGAGCTAAGGATTAACGAAGAAATTACCTTTTAACGTGTGATCCATAACACAGGTCGGACGATAGCAAGTGAAAATCAAGCGTTCAGCCTGCGGCTTGAACTAGCGACTCACACATCGGCCGATTGACTGAGTCAACAAAGCACAAACGTCAAATCGCCTGGCTACCTGGCTTGCATTGGATTACTAATTGGGTATATTTTTTATCGTTCTGCAAACTATATGTTGAATTTCTTTAGATCCATGATTGAATCAGAACAGTGAACATGGTAATGATGAATTATAAGCATGGTAGTTATTGAATATCATCCACATTTTCAACTGAAATCTATCGAAATCTGTTTTCCGTTGAGAAGTTGTCACCCCATATGAAGGACAACCCTCAGAAGTTAAACTTGTGCAAGCCAAGGATTGACGAGGTCTTACCTCTCAACGTTAGATTATAGCACGACAATGACAGACAATATTTCGTGTTTTCCTTATACAACACATCAGTCGCAAAAAGGGTATGACATGAATGAGTCAGAGTTGGTCGCATTATTCAAACAACTGAACAAAAAATAGTGAGTTTTGAATGAAAACCACAATGCTCAACTGGAAACTGATCATACCATGAAGCAGAAATAATTTCCATTCCGTATTCAAATATAAAAGTGGAATACATCAGAATAATCATAAAAATATTCAAGGGTTATATATTCCCATCGCTGAACATTTAGCTAGTAAGAAGGATACATCTATGAAATAGTTCATTGATTACATTTACCAGCAGTTGGATTCAATCAATCAAATGATTCTGGTCATCAACTGGTTTAAGCTGTCATTGTTCGTGAAATTTCAATTTCTTTCTTTGTAATTTCTTGATGTTCAGCTCCTGTTTTTCCAGCGGATATAATAGATCTTTTTGTCATAGAAAAATTATCTCAATGACCTTCATTCTTTGATTCTTCATTGAATTCATTTCCTGAACAAGTAAAGAATACAAATGGTCAGGTCTCAATTTTGTATTGAACGGTAGCCATCGCATCTGAAAAACGACTCATACTCCTCAACTACATATTACTCTATCAATTATCGAAATTCACTCAAATAAAGTAGATATGACAGCTATGAGATTTCAGGATAATAACATTGTTCTATCGAATTCAGATATCGGTTCACATGTTTAACCTGAAAATTCCTCTTGCAAGGAACATTTATGAAGTTTTGAACCTGTCATCAATAATGTACTCGATCCTTGAAAGTTTTTACATTATCTTTTAAAACTTTGATGAGAGTTTTGCTCTTGCTTTCGCATGGCTTCTCCTGGCAGCGAGCGCGATGATCTCACTAACCCCCTCATTTTAAAGTACAATGCGAATGATAGAATCATCAGTGGTAGCTTTCGAATCTTTTTTCAGTATACGTATTAGGTTAGGTTAGGTTTGAAGTGAGTGGGTCTATTCAACCCTCCATCGCAACCCGCAAGGATTTATTGTGGCTCACACCTATTCACACTCGGTCAAATAAACCCAACTTCTTAACGGAGCCGATTTGTCTGTATGGTGAATGGTCTTTCAGGTCAGATGGTAAGATTACGGATCTGCCGAACTCTAAGAACCTGATTCGGTCCCCAGCGGGGCAGGCACAAAGTATATGCTCTGCTGTTCCATCATTTTTCAAACCGAGGCGACACATACTGTCTTCCGACAGTCCAAGTCTCTGCATATGATGATTCAAATGACAGTGGCCGGTAAGAAGGCCAGTTAGACAACGTAGTTCATCCCTGCTGTATTCCAACAACTGTTAGGTATCAAGCTTCGAAGGGTGGATAAACGCCTTGGAGTGAGCCAATCCTGGAAGATTCTGCCAGAAGTCCATAAATCTTCTTGCCATCCAGATATTCAATGTTGGCAAAACCCAAAGCTATGCCAATGACAGGTTCGGTTCTGATGAAGCCTCTTGCAGCACCCTCCTTTGCAAGAGAGTCAGCAGCTTCATTACCTTCCAGGCCAGTATGACCAAAAATTCAGACCAGTGACAATCTGTTGAGTCTTCCTATCGAGGAGAGTCGTTTTTGGCAATTTGCTACCAATTTAGACGTTGCTCGGTAGAAGCCAAGAGCTTCCAAGGCCGCTTGACTGTCCGAGAATATTTTTATTGACTTGTGTGTGAGGTTGGATTTATCCAATCTCTTCGCACACAATTCAATAGCGTAAGTTTCCGCTTGAAATACAGTCGCATAAGTTCCTATGCAGGAAGATATCTCTGTCCTGGGTCTGCGACTAAAAACACCTGCACCAGAACCGGTGTGTGTTTTTGATCCATCTGTGAACCAACAACTATCTGCTCTAAATATTTCACTTCGAAAGGTTCTCACGAGGGTTGTTCATGTGAATGCAGCTGAGTGGCGATTAAAATGATTTTGTGAAATCACTGGCAGCTTCAAACAATATGGAAGAGAAAATAATGGATTTCATGAGAATAATTCAGCCAAGTGCATGAAAAATGATTCACCTTCCACAACTTTCCTACGGAATTAATTACTTCTTCGGCTGATACTACAACGAATATTGAAATATATCTTCTTGTACATGCGGAAGCATCGACGGAGTCAATCGAGTCCCAGACACACAGGTACTTTGGTTAGATCTGTCCTGTACTGATGAGGAGTAATGCTCCTATATCAGTCTATAGGTGATCACCGGATGGATTTCAGACATATTCTGGTACTGAAAAAACAAAGAGCAAGATTTTCCTTTGTGAAAAAACTTACAGGAATATCTTTTGCATATAAAATGCTCGTCGTGATATTAGCCATCAAGTTTTTCGGCAGGTTTCGCCAGAATCTACTCTGTAAGATCACTGAGAGGGGTGAATGTTTCAAATTTCTGTTTGGAATAATCATTTTGTCAGTACCTAAGTACCTCTACTTTTATTATTTTTTTCATATTCCAAAGCATATCCAATATTTATCTAATTACCAATGGATTTGGTAAGTGTCGAAATTATTGCAATTGAAGAGCCATTCTCCTTTGGAACCTATATAGCAGAACGGTAAATTGAACAACCATGTAACTATTAGATACAATTTTTTTTCAAGACAACCATCACATGCATCAATGAAAACCTGACAGTGCTTCTGTTAATTTGGTCAATTCTCAATAAACACATGAAACTGGTTGCTATTGTTTAACCTATATAGCACTTCTATTACATTTTTTTGTAACAGTTCCACAAATATTTTCATCTATCCGAACCGTTTCGAAAGTTATTGAATATTATTGTTTCCGTTACGAAAAATTTCAAACGGCCTTTTACTAAGCTAACCTAACCTAACCTAACCTAATCGACTGAATTTACGAAGGCGTATATACCTACTATTGGGCTATACCAAATTTCAAAAACTCTAATTTGAAACTTTATGACACTGGTAACTGATCGTACATTTTGAACTGCAAAATTGTTTGGTATAGAGGATAGTTGTCTGAACATCGACTCACCTTCATCGTGATTGCTCCCCAGCAGAATTTCCATATCTTCGTAATCTCCTTCAGCCAACATATCCATGGGATGTTTGGGTAGTAGCACCCCCTCGATGGTGGGAGTAGAAGGAAAACCGAGAATCCCGGAATAGGAGTTCCATTGTTGTAGCGAGATTGTTTTAGCATCCACTGCTCTCATACAGTCCATCACCTTACGCGGACTATTTTCCAAAAGAGAAACGTTGCAGCCACAGTCCTGTATGAGAATTTTACCGATTTGTTCTGCGCGTTCACCGGACATGTAGCTCCACGGAGCGTTCATGGTGCCCGATTGCATGATACCCCTGCGAACGAGCCCTTTTGTGACAGGGCTTATCAGATGGATGCTAATCGATCCTCCTCCTGCAGATTCACCAAAGAGCGTTATTAGATCAGGGTCACCCCCGAATGCAGCAGCGTTGTCTTTGATCCAACGTATAGCTAGAATTTGATCCCAGAGCCCCATGTTACCAGGAGTCTCATCGCTTCCTCTAGGGAAATATCGGTTGAGGTAGAGGAAACCAAAGGATCCCAAACGATACTGCATTGATGCCACTATAACGTCGCTCGTAGCGGCGATGATATCAGCGTCGTAAACGTCCAACGTTGCGGTACCACTCATATAACCACCACCATAGATCCAAATAAGTACGGGAACTTTCGGTCTGTCGATTGTAGGTTTGTCAGCGTGATGTCTGATACGCAACCGCTGGGGAACCCAGATGTTGAGATAGAGACAATCCTCCGAGATGTTCGTATTGGGGTTCCACATTTCTTCCCCTTCGAATCCCGGGAAGTACTCGTAACGTTCCTGGAAGCAGGAATTGGGCTGCTTTGTAGCGTCCAGGATGCCGTGCCAAGGGTCAATGGGGACGGGCTTTTTGAATCTGAGCTGCTCTATGGGGGGTTTGGCAAAAGGTATTCCGGTAAAGACGTGCACCTCTCTACCCAGAACTGTTTTCGAGTATCCTCTAACCAGCCCGCTGGTTGTTTCGACGACTAGAGGGTCCGTGTGGAAGTCTTTGAATTGCGAGGGTCTTGTGGTAGTTTCGTCACTTGGCCAGGAATATCCGCACACAGAAGCACACACAGTCACGAACAAGCACAGGATCGAAAGCTGGCCCATTTTGAGAAAGTAACACCTCGCACCTAACTTGTTGATTAGACCGCGAAAGGGCGATTCACCGAGTGAATAATCCAGTCACATTGGCGCGCGATGAAACACCGGGTTGAGTGCGGAGCGATATGGCTTGCAGACAAACTGATACTGTGGCGCGGAAAGCAACTGCGAGTAGGTTGAAGCTTGCGCGTCCGATTTTAACGTTTCCCTGTTACTATTGCACAAACCGAGGATTTAAAACTTTCGGTTTCATATGCTCTATAAGCCGGGTAATTTTTTCGTGAAATATATGCAGTTTCACGCCCTCTAATTCTCCGGTAACTTGTGTGTAATTTTACGGTTGTAAATTATTTAAACGAGCTGGAAGCGGCCGTGGAATAACTGGTGGAGGTTCAAGCGCAATGAGGTTGAGAAGATTAATAATGTATTAACGAGGAAAAATATTGAGCGTTGTACTTGTAACAATGAAGTGAAAAATAAGTCGTTATAGAAATCTGGATCGATACGTCGTCCAGTTAAGGGTGATTCAAAAAAGGTATATATCCATCGGGGTTTGATGAATCTATAATGAAATCAAAAGTTTTCTTTTTGGTCCTCGGAAGCATAGTCTATAATAGTCAAAAACTATATGTTCTTCTATCTTGAACAAGGGATGAGGTTTTAGGATATTACTTTTTATACTCAGGGTTCGATCAGGGTGACTTTGCACAGGATACGTAGACCGCGGAAAGGAAGTAATATAGTAATAGTAGTGAGATTTATTTTCTCTCTGGAAAACTCACAACTTATATAAGAAAAGTCATGCTCATCCTAGATCATAAAAAAATATATAATCATACAAACAAAATATACAGAAAATATGAAATTACAAAGAAAAGAATGTACAAATAATAACTCCACATAAAGTAGTGATAAAATGCCGTTTTTTCTGCATTTTCATTAACACCAAAAATATCGAGTGAATGTTCTTGCTTTTTTTATAACTATTCAAGTAAATACAACGAATTAGGTATCATTAGAAAGAGAATTTTGTGCCCTTTCAAATGATATATCACTCGACCCCACGTTCCGTTTAAAATTTTAGGGTTGTTACTCACCCTCGCTAGGGGGTTGAAGGCACAGGTAGAAAAATACATCTAAAATGTGTCCCCCCCAAGAGCAAAATTGACTTGTCCGAGCACTTTTGCGTTAAGTAACAAAAAAAGGAGAAAAGCAAGGCGCATACTTTTCGTTGGACCACTCGATATGGTGAATTTTTGGTTTCCTGGACAGTCATCTAGGAATGGTGTTACATTTTATCTCAACACTCCGCGTACAAATATAATGAAAAAATCTCCAATTTATACAATGTGCGATACCTCTAGTTCTGTTAGTCATTTCCTAGATATATTGAACTGTCAGATTATACAAATCAAAAAACATTTCTTAGCTAACCGACAGTTCTGTTTTCAATGTTTTTTTTATATTGATTCACAAATTATATTATATAAGTACATATTTGTAAATGCCACTGTTACTCCCTATTCTGTAATTGGGTTTATCTTGTAGAATAGTGTATGAAATAAATAAATGAATAAATGAATGAAGACAGAGTGAGAACACCTAATTCTTTGAAAATTGGTCTGCATGGTACATATTCTTCTCTACAGCAAATATTCTAATTAGCATCTTCTTTGCCAAAAAACATCATTGAACATTGTTGAGTTGCTCCACAAACATATATCATATCTCATAGTAGAAGCTGCTAAGCTGTGATACAACATTAATATTCGAGGGCTTTTTAAAACTAGTCTTAAAGTTCTAAACATATATCCAAGAGAATTAATTTTGCTTATGATGCTGTGACAGTCAAGGTTCTCATCTATAATGATTCCAAGGAACTTCGTCATTTCACTGTTTTTGACAAGTGAGTCATTGACTTGTATCAACTTGATATGGCCTCCACAACATTGGCACATTTTGAGGTGAGAATATAATCGTTTTTTTCATAAATCAGTAAGGTTGTGTCACCAGCGTAAGTGACAAAAATGCTTCATCAGTTACTCTATCTAAAAATAATCGAAAAAGTTGAACACCTGCTCCAGATTTAAGATTATATATTTTTTGGTGCTACAAAAAATAGTCTAAATGATATTGTAGGAAATAATATTGCCTTCGATTCATGTTTCTGAACTACGTTTCAGAGAGTTTCATATATATGCAGTTAAAAAAATCACAATATTTGTCAAACTACGAACGAATTTCTCATCAGAATTGTCCAGGGTTTTTGGGTTAATTAACCGTAGTCTTCAGGATTTTTTTACGTTTCGTTTGCTACTGCGGCAGACATCATCAAAGGCGATTTGGCAACGGTCGAAGTGCTGAGATGCGCAAACTGAAATGTACGGACGTATGCGAAATGTATGCACTAATGTAATTATTTACTTACATTGCGGAAGCATTAAAAATTATCAAAACCAACGTATTTCAAGAAAATTGAACGATTTCGTCTTGAGTTTCAAGTATTCACCAATCCTACTTGAATATCTACCGTGTTGCACTCGTTACAGAGCAATTCTACGTAGGCAGGTACTTATTTATTTAAATACCTATCAGTGAAAATTGAACGATTTCGTCTTGAGTTTCAAGTTTTTACCAATCCTACTTGAATAGCTACCATGTTGCACTCGTTACAGAGCAATTCTACGTAGGCAGGTACTTATTTATTTAAATACCTATCAGTGAAAGGGGGTATTCAAATTTTCATAGCTCATCAGCATGGCAGTTTTGAAGATGTAATTGAACTTGCAGATGCTTGATGAAAATCCATATAAAAATTCAATAGTTCACTGTGATTTTCACTGGTAAGTTTACAAAACTGCGACTGTTTGGCTGTATGATACCTCTATCCAACAAGACTGTGAATCACTTCTGAGTCGTAATATTTTAATAAGTATATTGATTCAGTTTTTTCACGTCCAAATGATTGCCAGTTATTCACTGGGAATTGGACTTTGAACGCGTCCTCAATAATTCACAGTTTGAATTCCTACGTTTCGGCGACGTTTGTCGCCATCTTCAGAGCTACAATAAAAATAGATGAAAAATAAAGTATAACTGGAGTTTTTTCCCAACATCAAACCGTGTTTCGATCACCAAAGAGGAAGGTCAAACTAAATATACTTACAAAGTTATCCATATTTATACCATAGATCATAGATACCTCTTCTAGGTACCTGCATGTCAAATCAATTTCACAATAGTACCTCATCTACTAGTCTTAAATTGATTTTACAATGTGTCCTTATGTAATAGTCAGGTTCTACACACTCATAGGCATCTAGATGGCTCTTGTTGTTAACTTGTCTAACTAATCTTAATGAACTAAAGTCAATGGAATGGTTTTGATGCAAACTATGATGGACGACTGCTGATTTTTCAGTTCTTCCATATTTTAGGTGTGCTAAGTGTTCCTTATATCTCATTTTAATAGATCTTTTTGTCTGTCCATATTATTTTGCATCGCAGTCCTTACATTTAGCTTCGTAAATTCCAGACTTTTCCCAACTCTCGACTTTGCCTTTTGGATTTCCTAAAGACTCTGTAGGATATGACTTGTTTTAATATTGTAACATTGTAAATATACATTGTAACATTGTAAGTCTATTTAGTTTGATCTTCCTCTTGAAGATGATCACTTGGTGATCGAAACACGGACTGTAGGATAGTAGACCAGCCAGGAGGTTCTCTCCTGATCTTTTTAAGTAACGTGTGAACCAACCAAGCCGAATTGTGAAGCTCTAGAACCTTGGAAAGTATTCCGCGGCAGTCACAGTGACATGCTAAACAAATTCCAGTTGATTAGTCGATATACCTGATAATACATTCAATTCAGCGAGTCAAGACTTCTTCGCCTCTGGTTTGGATGAATTATTGTTGGAGCGTGAGCATTTGCTACCTTATTAGGAAAAGTTAGTTTTCTTTCCTGCTACAGATTTGGCTTCTGCTACTCGAGAATTTGATGCAAGGCATATTCATGAAATATCCTTGTGGACAGTTCGGGTTTTTGAGTCGTCATCCACATTCTCTGGATGGAAACTTAGGGTTGGATTATTTGCTGACTTCATGTTCTATAGCTCCTTTGAGGACGCTTTGAAAAAATGTGCTCTCTTATACTGAGTGAGGTTCAGGGTCGCAACTCGACTTTTATATGATTCGGTTGTGGTCGTGGTAGCGCCCCACACTATTCCCACTCCTAGCTGTATAAACAGGAAAATTCTTTTTTTTTCTAATTTTGAGGATGAAGTCAGATTGCAGCCTACAAAATGAATCTGAAAATCTCAGTTCTCAGTTTCTCCGTTCTTTTTTGAACGATGAAAAAACTCCAAAAACTTGATGAAAAACTTCGAATCTTCTACCAAAAAAATATTTCTACTCGTCCAGTCACAAAAATATAAGTGAATAATACACAGAGAAAAGAAGGAGTAGAAAAGTACATTATATATGTTAAATGTTGGGATATAACATATATATTTTGCGTTCATCTACTTCCTGATAGGATATGAATTTTCACCCTAAATCCGTAATTTATTATTAATTTTGAGTGGTTATACGAGTGAATCTATTATTTATGAAAGGGTAAAACATACAACGGAATTGTTCATTTGACATTTGTTTAGGGGTATTAATCTGCTATTTACCTTCCATTCCTGTGGAACCTACGCATGTTTAATCTCCGGCGTGTTCTGGAAAAGATAATCCACTTACCGTGTTATAGTTATCTGGTAGTTATTGAGATCATATAATTTGTAGAAACAAAGGGAATCGAGTCGGTTGAATATAATCAATCAGAAAAGAAAAACAGTTTCAATCATGAAATAGAGCTTGACGATAAAAAAAAATAGACTGAAATGATTGTATTCCAGTAAAATTCATTTATATTCTCAGCGAAGAATGAAGCACTGAAGTTTCTCTCACTGAGAAATAAAACATTGGTGAAATTTTATAATTTTCATCATTCTGTGATGATACGACTTTTGTATGTGTCATCGTATTGTTGCTATGGAAATGTGTCGGGGTTTTCAAGTGAGCTTGAAGAATTTCAAGAACTGAGGAAACAGTTCAATTGTCGTAAATATTGTATATAT